ATGACTTTTTAAAAGCTTTAATCATGATTTTTGTGTTAATTAATTATCTAAAGTTATTTTTTTTCGTAACCCTTATAAATACCACATATTTCCCAAGTTCGATAATACTGAAGAAACGAATCGTGGTTGCCCAGAAAAAAAATGCATAACCCCCACATTTAAAATTTATATTGAATTTGTAAGAAAAATGTATCAAACTAGCAATTGCGATCGAGCATATGACTTTTTAAAAGCTTTAATCATGATTTTTGTGCTAATTAATTATCTAAAGTTAATTTTTTTCGTGACCCTTATAAATACCACATATTTCCCAAGTTCGATAATACTGAAGAAATGAATCTTGGTCGGCCACAAAAAACTTGGATTTCGCCCACATTTAAAAATTATGTATAATTCGTGTAAATATAGAATTAGAGGCGTAAATCAGATGGAAAACATGTTTATTATTTGTAATAAACCATATAAAACACTTTTCCGATGAATTTTCCAAGTTTTCCATAATTTTGAAAACAAATATTGTCCGGTCCATTTAAAGACAAGATTCGAATATTGCGCCACGATATTTTACCCCTCTAGCCACGATACATTTCTACTAGGGATCTATCCAAAGTCAACTAAAAAGTCTGGCTGCATTTCTATTTGTAATTAAACTATGATTCTAATTTCAATCATTATATATTTTTCTAATATTATATTAAGACATTAACAATTGCTATATTAATTTAACAGATGATTATTATGAGTCAATATTTATTATTTTTGCAGCAAAGTCCCAAGAAGCGATTTTCACTTTATATTATATTTCAGATCTACAAATGAAAATCTGATATCACTACTGCTTGATATTAAGTTTGCTAGACCAAGTTTTTACCACGAGACTATGACCAGCTCAAATATCATGGAGGTAAAAAATAAAATAAATGTAATTTATTTTATATAAATCACGTATTTAAAAAAATATATGAAAATGCTTGTAAAAACTAACATGAAAAAGGTTGATGAATTGTTTTTCAAAACTTAAAAAAATTTAATAAGAAAAATTACCAGCAACTTCGCAAAGCTTTTACATAAAAATATTTTTTAAAATCTAATTTTTCAGGAAATAACTTTTGAAAATTGGGTGAATCGACCTGATTTTATTTAATTATTTCCTGAATTAAAAAAAAATCTTATTAATGATAATACTTTTTTGACCTTTACTGATCATTTTAATATTATTTTTTGAACTTAGCAAAGGTTTTAGCTGTAGTAATGATATTTCTTGCTTTTTAGAAGGCAACCTGATGATTGTACACGATATTCCACTAAAACTAAGGACATATTTTAAATTATATGCAGCTATATCCAGGGAGGATTATTTTCACTTATAGGGATGAATATTGTAGAGAGTGTATTTAGAGACAATAAATGAGTGATTAGAGAATTACGAAGTTAACACAATATATTTTAGATCTATATTTCCAAGTAAAAAACTGATATCACTACTGCTTGATATCAGACTGGCTGAGGTGTGTATCAAATCTTTAATTACACCGGATTGCGAGGCCAAAGGTCTTACCATAAAGCCAAAAAGAAGTTGGTGACGCTTGTTTGAACTCAAATTATGATATGTAAAAATATAATTTCCATTTTCAAATTTCTTAAAAAAAATCTCCATTTCAATACAAACATGAATCCCAAAATATTACCAAACCGCTCCTTATGCATACAATCGATCGACTCCCAATTTGCATATTCAAATACGATCAAAAATTGCGTGGTATTTCATCACGAATGCAAAATTTGGGAATTATGCAAAAAAAAAGTAAAATTGAAAATAGTGAAAGTTGGTGGTAATAAATAATGAGCCAATAAGGAGAGCATTCAAGAGCGAACTATCAATCAGATCATATAGTTATTCAAATCAGCATAATATGTTACGTAAATTTGCTAAACGAATTTACTCCAATTAGCGTTTTGTTAAAATTGTTCCGTTATATTTTTCACTTTCTAATAAGAACGTGAAACGGTCTGAAAGAAATGATAAATAGGATACATAATGCTTTTTTGCATATATAATAATTGTAGTTATTATCAAGGATGTTTTCTCCTAAAGCCATTCATTCACTCCTCGATCGTTCCTGACATCGATTTAAAAAATTTAGTGATAAAAACTTTATTTTTGGCCAAAGTCTTGATAAAAATATCCAGAATTAATATATAATTAATCCTCATCGAAATACATCGAATGGCTTTTAAACTTCTGAAATCGGTTCAGGCGTTTTTGAGCTAACGTCGATGAAAAGTCTAATTTTGATAAATGCCAAAAAAACGATACTAATTATTGCAAACTTTTTTTTTTGCAAATTTTGATTTTTTAAAGTTAAACGAGTAGTCGTAGAGCCGTAATATTTCAGTATGGTCTATAAGACTATGGTATCTACCGTCAAAAAAATAATGATAAAAATCGGGCATTTGGAAAATATTAGTTATACTCTTAGCAAAGATAGGTAAAAGGCTTTGCAAGTTCGAAATTAAAACGAAAAACGAAAAATTTCTCCAAGTCCAAATTATATTTTCATGTAGTGAATTTTAACAAAATAGAACAAAAGATATCAAATAAATTATTTTTACAACCAGTGACAATTTTACAGATTTTCCTAATAAATTTCAAAGCAAGTCGTTAATTAAAAAGTATTCTTTCTTTAATAACTGGTTTATGATCACAATTGACTAACTATCATTGGATGTAACAAAATCATTCAGGAACGAGTTTCAATTAACTCCGAGTCCATAAATAAAAATATTTAATTCAATCATATTTTTTTGCATCGATGGACATGCTAAGTGAAAGTTTTTTTAATTTGTAGTTGATTCTCAAGAATCTTCTAATTCTTAAAAGATTGGCGATGATTCTAGTAGAAAATTAATTGTTTATTTTTAAAAACTGTATTATTGCATAACAAGGGAGCATTATATGAATTATAAAATTAGTGGTTAGAGCTATGAGAATTCAATTAGAAGTTCAGAAGTTCAGAAGGTCAAATTTTAATACTGAATATGAAACCATAAACATGGTGTGCTGCAATTTGGCTAAAAAGTATAATTTTCATTGAATTACATATAAATAGTATTTATAAATTCTGTTTAAAGCTGTTTGAATATGTAAATAGGCAAAATAAAAAATAATACGAAACTAAAAAATATCCTTATAAAGAATCATTGAAGTGACGAGATTTTTTATGAACTGAACTGAGTTTTGTACTCAAAGCAAACACACATAATTTCAAAAAGTTATATCAACTTAATTTCTTTTATTTTTGTTTGCTACTTGCTTTATAAGTTAACACGGATGTAATATTCTTATTAAAAATTATGAACAATTTAAATATTAATCACTTTCGAAAAACCCATCGACAAAAATGCAACTAAATATTTGCAAAAATAATTAAATAATACAATTTATTTGCAAAAAAATCATACTTGGAATTTTTAAATGACGTTCTGCAAAATATCCAAAATGACGTAATATCAATGTAATAAAATGTATACTTTGTATATTTTAGCCTGTAAAATATTAATATAGCCATATTAATCATGTATGGGTAATTTTGTAATGTAATGAAAAATATAATATTTTTAACATAATATTTAACTAGAATAATTTTTAATCAGGATGTAGTAGAAGCTATATAAATAAATAAATAAATATATATATATATATATATATATAAGAAAAAAACTACTAATTATTAAAAATGCATAAATTACATGAAAGTCGTTTCAAATTGAATATTAATACCATAAAGTTGAAATGTAAACAATTGGCTGAGAGCAACTAAGCATACAAATGCCGACAATTTAGTGAGAATAAAATAACAGTACCTTTAAAAACCACAAATTGCTGGAAGCTTTAGAACTTTAGCTAGAAATAAAATAAAATTCGAATTATTTTCAATATTCAAAAAAAAAAAAACAAAATCATTTGTTTCGTCAACACACGCAGAAAGTTCTTTGAATCATTCAAATCGGACGCTTAGTTCTCTCAAAAATTGCCATTTTTTTACATTTAGCTCTGTATCTTGGAAATGGCTGGACCTGCCTTTGCCAAAAACTACTCACCACTTCTCCCCGTCATTACGAATTGAATGTTTTTTTTTAATCATTTGAATCTTATGCTCCGTTAAAACTCAATTGATAAAACTCAATTTCTATTTTCTGCACTCCTTGCTCCGTATCTCCGAAACGGCTGGACCTGCCTTCACCAAAAACAAATCAGCACATCACCCTATCAATAGGAATCGAATGTTTTTTGAACCATTCAAACTGATGCGCCCGAAAACATGGACGAAAAATTGTATCCATACATACATACACACACACATCAATTTTTTCTGAGGTATGCCAAAATGTTCAGAAACCTTCAAAACGTGAAGGAATATATAATGGACGATTACTATTACTACCCTACGGGAAGTTTATAATTCAGTAGAACGATTTATAAGATAAATACACACACACTTTGAACAAAATTTTAGAAACTTTTTTTGAAAGAGGCTTGAAATTTTTAAGGAAAAAATGCAAAATCATAGATTTGTTATATTCGACACGTTATTCGCTACAATAATATCAGAAAAAAATTCACATGGGCAATGGTAACTTTATTAGATAATTTAGTTAAAAATGTATCACCTAAACTTGATGCATCAAAGAAAAATATTGACAAAATTTCTAGAAAAACACTATTTTTTGTCACGCATATGTGACTGATAGGATCTTATATTAAAACTTTTTTCTCCTTCTACTAAATTGCGTTAGGCGCATATGTCTGACACCACTTATGTACAACTTTTCAGTGTCAGACACATATGAAAACTATCAGTGTGGATGCCAAATTTGGAAATCTTGAAAAAATACTATAAATAATATATCAAATATTCATTCGCGTTGCACAAACTTTTCAAGTCATGCCTGGTGACAAAATACTTTATTTATTTATTATATATAAAAATTGATTAAAAATGAGTAAATCTGCACATATTTATTCATCATCAGCATCGGCTTCTCCTACTGTTGCCGACGATTTGAACCGCGGTTCTATATGGTTAAATCACAGCTCACTTTCTCCAGCGCGTTCAGAAGACGTTCCGTCGCGGACAAGGTAACATTGGATGTGAAATTAATAATTAACTTGGCAAAATTGTAGCTAAAAACTAAATATATTGATTTAATAAGTCCAAAATCGTGTATATTTGTTTTTAAACCAACCCCCCCGCGCGATATTTCGGTTAATAAAAATCGGCAACTCACAGTTGCCAAAAAGTGCTCATGTGTTAATAAAATAGTGCCTTAAAGTTTTGCTATTGGATTTTTATTCTGGACCAGTTAAAATATTTAACAATCTATCGAACAGAGCAGAAATAAAATAAAGTGATGATTTTTTCTCCAGTGTTTTAGATTTGTTTCTAATAAGTGCAGTTTTTTTCAAGTGGGAACGCGGAAGAAACGCTTTTTAGAGAAAACATGTGTTTCGCTACCGTTAAATTTTGGTGAGTGCGTTTTTATAAATAGCGATTTGGTCTGATGAAATTTTTAATTGTTCTGAATCGTAATATTTGGATAAAGAACTGAATCTATATTGTTTTATAAGGAATGTGTGTACAAGGTGTCCCGGAACTCAACATCAAGCCGAAATAGGGTGATGATACTGATCAAAAACATCATGAAAAGAATTAGAAAAAATGTTTATTTTATGTTTAAAAATTGTGAGCTTTTAAGTGCAACATACAACGTTGGTAAATTGCAACCATTTTTCGGTTATTGCTGTTAATTTTTGTAAATTTTGTTTATTTAAAAACTTTGGATCCGTAATCGTAAATAACATTTCTAGGACCACAGTCAAAATAAAGATACAATTGCTCTAATTTTCAAGAATTAAGTTCTATGAATTCAAAATTTTCAAAAATTGGTCGAATTTGAGAAGCTGTTTTAAAAAAAAACAGGATTTTAAAATGATAGAATACTTGATAATTTTATTATAGAAATATTTTAGTAAAAAATAAAAATCTGACGTTGAGTTCTGGGACATCCAGTGTATATATGTATATATATATATATATATATATTTATATACGTATGTATTCAATATATATTCAATCTTTATTATATTTAAAAATTTTAAATCAGTTATTTTATTTAAACAAAAATTATGATTCTGTTGTATTTTGTTTTATTTGCTAATTTGTCAAATTTGTTGTAGATAATTGCTAAAAAAGTTCATATTATTTTTATCGAAAATTTTTAACGCATATTTCAAAAATATGTGATTGTTTCAATTCTTTTTATTGCAATGAATTTAACAAAAATCTTATCAACATATTTTACTATATATACAAAAAAGATAAATTTCAATTTATTAATTGATTTTAGTGCGATATCGAAATTATAACTCCACGAAATCCAGGAAATTCATAGAAATGTAAACAAAATTTGTTTCTCTAGATTTTATTGACTGCCAAATGGCATTTTTTTTTTAAATTCTTTCATTTGATCTCTGAAATCGATAGCCAAATCTCTGCCAGTCCAAAAATTTAACTAATTCTTCATTATACCAATACAAGTGTTTTCTGAATCATTCAAATCGGATGCTCCGTTCTTATTTTTTCAAGAAAATTTATGTAATAAATATTTTTTGTCTAAATATTTTCTTTTGGGCCAATTTCCTTCACAAATAAAAATACGACTATAAAATTTTTGTTTCGATTCTAGTTTTTTATTTCGATAATTGGTCTGGAAAATAATTCTTTTTCACTTATTACTAATATTATTATTATGCAAATCTGTCAACAAAGCTCGAATGCTTTTAAGTACAAATTTTGCAACTGACTCTAAAAACTTTTAAAATTCTCATTTAATTGTACAATTAATTACGCTCATAATAATAATTTTACAATTTGATTGTTTTAAGTTAGTAAACAGCAAATAATGGAATATGAATATGGAAATATAAAGAATTCTTCATAATAATTGTGTATAAAATGTAAGATAATCTTATAAATTTAAAAAGCAAGTTTTCGATAACCTCTAAAAAATTGATACTTATGTAATTTCCTCAAACAGCATCTGACGTGGGTGTTCTACAAAACCAGTTAAAATAATTTTATTAACCACCATTTACTCTATCAATATTTTAAACAACTACATAACATCATTTGCTATTAAATCAAAATCCACAATCGCATAACAATTAATTATCAATTAGCAAAATAAAAGTTACAATCACTGTGTATTTTTTTCATAAAACGCGTGGTAAACGCTTTCGATTTCTGAGAAATGAACATTCTATCTTTACTTCAAATGACGTGTTAAATGATATTATATTATAAGTCTGAAAAAAAAATTAATCATAGACTCTAATAGTAGACAATCGAGTTAACGATTCTTCTCATAATAAAATAATGAGGAAGGTTAGATATCTGCATAATAAAATCGTGTTTTGTGTAGGAAAATGAATTATTCATGAAGCAAAGTTAGAGAGATGGTAATAATAAGAAGACGAGGAAAAAGATTTTCATATCAAATACATATTAAAACCACTATTTGCAAATTGGATTTAGTTTGTAAAATAGTTGACACAAATATCATATTAAAATTTAATTTCAAAAACACATTTATAAATAATTTACTACTTCTTACGGTATCTAAAACAGCATTTGTTCAAATAGTCCTACTTTATATTCTTACCAGTACTCACAATGATTTGTAATTTATTCATATAGATCATTCAGAAGAGATAATGGATATTTTTATTTCTATAAGACTGATTTTTAAGATCTTCAGTGAATTTTCATATATAAGACATGGAATTATCTTTTACTTTCTCTAGATTATGAGGGCTTATTACTAATATTAAGTTGATACTTTAACTAGATTACTCAGGCTATAATCGTGTAACATTTGATATTAAATTGGTTAGTTAGGAACGATTTAGATATCATAACGGTTTTATATACTGAATAAATGTTATGAAATGATAATCCTTGTAACGGATTTTATTATTTTTCAAGATACATAAATATCAATCACTAATATAACAAATATAATTTCTGTCATAGAATATAATTTTATCATGACTGGACTTGCTATTCAATTTCTATAAAAATTGCCATAAAGAGTGATTATGAGGGTAACGAAAATGCATACTTTAACTTTATTAACTTACCATGGGGCTATAGTAATCGCAAAAAAATCGAAAATGAATTTTTTTATACATCTTTACGTTTCAGAGGTTTCTGAACATGTTAGCATACCTTAGAAAAGATAGATGTGTGGCACTAAATTCACGAAATTCATAGAAATATAAACAAAATTTTTTTCTCTATAATCTAATGATGACATTTGACCGCCAAAGAGCATTTAAAAAAAATATTTCATTTAATCTCCGAAACCGCTAGGCCTGTCTTCTAAAAATTTAACCTGTTCTTCTCAAAAAATCAATTACCATTTTTGGCAATTTTTGCTCCGTATCTTCAAAGCGGCTCGACCTGCCTTTACCAAAAACTAATCAGCACGTCTATGCATTAATACGAATCGAATGTTTTTTTTAATAATTCAAATTGGCTGATCGGTGTTCCCGAAATCGTCGACGAAAATTTGTATCCGCACACACACATACATCCATTTTTTCTAAAGTATGCCAAAATGTTCAGAAGTTTCTGAAACGTAAAGATATGTAAAAATTTTCATTTTCGATTTTTTTGCGATTACTATAACTTAACCTACGGGAAGGTAAAACGTTAAAATTTTTTAGAAAAATTCAAAGTATAAATAATCTTCGAAATATTTAAAAAAAATTAAATTTTCCAAAAAAGTTTTTTTTTTTCAAAAATGTTCACTGAAAAATCTCACTTTTTCAGTGTTTTCAAAAAAAATTTAAATGATTTTTAGAAATTATTATATAATTAATTCATGTCACGGAAAGTTCCAGCAATTTGCATTAAGGCATAATGCCATGCACCATTAGTTTTACTTCTTACTTTAATAATTAATAAAAAATAGCAAAGAATATGCAATTTTTATGCGCAGCAAAGAAGTGCAATAATCTTTTTTTTTATGTATTAATTTAGGCCTTTGACCTGGGGGTCATTTAGCCCTTGAATACAATTTTTACAGAATAATCTTCAATCGCCACTTTTTTCATGGACTGTGGTAACTTTATTATATAATTTAGTTAAAAATGTATCAAGAAAACTTCATGGACAAAAGAAAAAAAATGTTTGCCAAAATTCCTGGAAAACCACTATTTTTTTAAGCCCTACATATATGACTATATTAAATTGCATACCGCCAAATACATATGACTGACACGGCGATTAACCTGATAATAATATATTACAAATGACAGTACATAAAATCGTTCTCTTACAAAGTGCATTATTTAAAATGCATTAAACTGAATAACGGTCACGATATAATATATTTGTCATAAATAAGGCGATTACTTTCCATTTTTTCACTCATATTGAGGTCATTCATATGAATGTTAAATGTTTTGTGTCAATCGATGCATTTTAATAAATGTGAAACATATAAGTAAAAAGTATATTTGAAATAAAATAATTGTATAAATATACACAGTCGGAGGAAAAGGTCTATGAAAAAAATTTCATTTTTTTATAATTTCAAAATATTTTGCTATTTGAAAAATCACTATTTTTACGTAACGATCGAGTTAGTTTTTTTGTAAAAATTAAATGTCGGCTTTCTGTACTATTTTGCAGAGAAATATAGAGTTTATTACAAAAATACTATTTTTTTCAAATGTGAATCAAATCTGGATGTATTTCCTCCTTCTCGGTTTATCCCAAAAAGGTGAAAGACAATTTGCATAATTTACTCTAAAATATTTTCATGATGATTTGTTCAATGAAAAAACTTGTTCGTGATACATATTTGTTACCACACATTTTGAAACAATCATTTCTGAAGAATTTTTATACCGCATACTTTGCATTAATTGTTTCATTGATCTTAGAATATTGCTAAATATGGAAACAACGCGGATTTTGTTAATACATTTAAAAAATATTAATCTAAGATTTTATTGCTAATAAAAAAATCTAGTGAGCTGGTGCTTGCTCAATATTTGTTTTATGATGTAAA